GGGGGGGGGAAGAGAGGAGGGGGGGAAAGAGTGGGAGGGGCAAGAGTGGGGGGGAAAAAGAGGTGGAAAAAAATAGGGAAAAAAAAAGAGGGAAAAAAAGAGGGCAAGAAAGAGGCAAAAAAAGAGGAGAGAAACAAAGGGGGGGAATTATGCCATGCTCGTGCCGTATAAATGTTTGTTCCATTGTGCCTATAAACCGGTACGACCTCGAGATCGTATGTCCTATGCACGGCATCGTTGCAACAATATTTCGGCCCAATCGTCGTACTCGCGGCTATGCCCATTCCGATCTTTTCTCTACAACAAAAAATCCTATCCCTTAAAAAAGAAAAGAAAAAGAAAAACGCAAAATGCTATTAAAGTTCGATTTGCTACTTCAACGACGATTCTACAACGGGGAAAAAAAGAAAACTCGAACACACGCCAATTTTTAACAAAAATATAATTCATTTAAACTATAATCTTCAAATTCCTAATTCCTTTATATGTTTTTTTTTTTCAAAATATTAATAAACAATTAATAATTCAATAATTAGCCAAATCAATATTCCTTCAATTTATATTAATATATAATTAATTATCATCCTTTAATTCTTAAATGTTCATTCTTTATCCTTTCAATATTTCATAATATATTCAAATAGTTCAATTCAATTCATAATTCAATTCACCACCCCCAAAAAATATAATTTCAAATATAAACAAATTCATCAAACACTCACAAAGAATAATCATAATAATTCATATCCTCCAAAAATTCAATACATACCAAAACAATACATCAACATCTCATTATACCCAACAATTATAATAAAATAACTACCAACATTATATCAATATGGTTATTAAATTATTAATTCAAGTATTATACATATATACTATAATTAAATACATTCATTTTTCTAATATAATATATATCATTATTTAACACCATTCAATAAATATACATACCCACATAGTTCTCAATCATTCTACATCAATATTATTGAATGATAATCTATCCTTGAGATATCAACGGAGTTCTGTTCCTTGTATCTACTCTAAACAATTTCCGGGCAACATTGCCCATAGCAAAATTTGCAAACTAGCCATTGTGGCATTGGATGTGGCGGCTCGAAAAGCGAAGCTCAATAGAACTGTTCCTTTGCTTCACAGAAAGCAGCTCCTATGCCCCTCAAGAATGACTACGGAGCCCACAGCAGCTCAGCAAGGACAAAAGAGTGCCTTTAAGTGCACTTCACAAATTGGGCGTGGGTCAAAAATAGGTAGCCCAAATGGATCTCTGGTAAATGGAAACATGGACTAAAACCTGCGGTCCCCTGTTGGTTTAATTTTGACCCATCCCCAATTCCTCCTAAAGGGACGAGGGCCTTGCTGGGCCACCCTTTGACAAAATTCCTCGAGCTGACCTAGGTCCTCCAGTAGAGAGGTGAGAATAAGGGTACCCTTTTTCCTATATTCTGTTTTTGTACGGGAACCCTCCCCCAAAGAGAGTAAAAGGGCGCTACTGGGGACCTAGTGACTATTGTTGTTGCAAGAGAGGTGCCTTGCTGGATGACCCCGTGCCTCACTTCTTGCCCGAGGCGTCCTCTTTCCTCTCGCAAGTCACTTGGGTCGTGTTCGTCAGGGGCGTCACGGGCTGACAGCGCTCTGCATCCGTGGGAAAATAGTCCACCTGACGATTGTTTCCGGACGCTTCAGAGGCATGAGATTGTGCAGGCCATCCCTTGGTTGCCTTTTGGAAGTTACCCAAGCTACCTTTGATAGGTGAGGTCCGCTGCAAACCGCACTGACGCACATGGAAAATATCCGGACAAGGAACCCGAAAAAGGACGGGGCCTCAATAAACCCCATATTCATTCCGAAGCTCTCCTACCTCCACGAAGCCGCTATACTGGCCCAGGATCTGCGCCCAGTAACCAAAGTGGCAGTCTGCCTCCAAGGCTTCGAAAGCCTTCAAGGGCTTCTGCAGCAAAGTCACCACGCCCGGCATGTCAGAAATCGAGGCTTTGAACAGCACACTGCGTCTGGGAAAGCGCGGTGCGAACGAAAAAATCAAGCCAAATGCATATATCAAATAAGGCCTTCCGCATGCGTTAATCAAATATTACTTCAGGAATCATGCTATATTCAATCAATGTCGTTTTCCGAGTAAAATACGACTAGCCAAATGCATTTTATATTCATGTGTCCAACTAATATTAATATATCAAATATAATCGCAAAATTTAGTCATCGTATTATATCAAGAGTCAAGGGTACCTGGAAAATAAATTTCCTCTTGAAGGTCAGGTGCCATGTTAGTGGAAGGGAGCGTATATCAAATCAATTGATAGCTACTAGACCTATAATACTTCACTATAACAAATTATCACACAAATGTGTAAATGTGTATGTATATATATATATATGTAATATATATATATATATATACATATGTATGTATATATATATATATATACAACAATGGTACCCCCAATGTGTACAGTTTTGTCTGTATGGCCGCTACCTCTGACTCTGCAAAAGGAAAAACACTCTCCAACTGAACCGTTTGAACCCTTTCTCAAAGGAAAGGTCTGGGACCAAAACCGTTTAAACCGTTTAAATCGTTCGAACCATTTGAACCGTCCACCTTTACTTTGAGAAAATTTAAACGGCTTGAACAGTTTTGGGGCCCTGGCCCTTGGGGGATAGGGGGGTGGGGGGCTTGGGGGAGGACCTGTCCTCTGAGAAAGGGCGGAAACGGTTTAAGCAGTTAAAACGGCTTAAACGGTTTTAGGCTTGGGGGGGGGTTAAATGGTTTAAACGGTTAGGAGCCCAAAGTCCCCAAAAAGGCAGAAAGCATTGCAAATACCAGTGAATTCTGAAAAACATAATCTAAATAGGAGCTCCTGTTCAAAGACTATTTTTAATTGGAAGGTTTTTGTCAAATTCGATTTTAAAGACGGTCTCCTTTTCTTCTTTTGAACTTAGCAAGGAAGTACTCCTAGTAGGATGTTCCAGTTTCAAGAGAATCTAAATGGGTTTTCCTGTTCAAAAAAGATGTGTAATAAATCCAATTAAACCCCTTCTTTTAAACCAAGCCTATCTAAGTTATCGTTTAAACCAGAGACTCTACTAGAATTATGGTGTTTTAAACTATAATCAAATAATATAATTAGACATGAATCAAATTATAATTTCGTGTTGTTTCAAATTAGATTCTAAAGGGGGTATCTTTGTTTAATATCGTACTGTGAATTTTTAAAATAATAATAATTGGAGCTTGGTAAGGAAATAATCCCGGTACGATGTCTAGTTTAAACAGAATCTACATAGGTTATCCTGTTCAAAGTCGCATTTGAAATTGGAATTTATATCGTGTTCTAGTTATTTTGTTTTGTCGAGCATTAAATATAATTTAATAAAGACATGTTTCTAATAGAGTATTTAGTTTTAACAAGAGTTTAAATAGGTTTTTAAAACATAATATTCTTAATTAAAATTAGTACTTCAAATTTAACTTTTAAAGCGAATCTCTTGTTCTAAGATTAAGATTTCAAGTTTCTAATTTGAGTTTAAAAAAATTAACAGTGACATATCCTAATATAATTTCTAAATTTAAGAATAATCTAAATAATTAGATATACAAATATATATATATATATATATTTAATCATAATTCTTATTTCAAATTAGATTTTAAAGAGGCCTTCCTTTTTCCCAAGATGTTGTTTTCTAGCTTCTAATTAGAATCTAAAAGAAATAAAATAGCTTATTTTGCTGTATTAAATCATATACATATGTTTAAGTAATTACTCCGCCTTTATTATACGCAATTTAACATATTCGAAACCAAAATACACAAATGTATTTGACTACTATACATATATATATATATACATGCGACCATATGCAAAACTATGTTAATCAGTATGATCAAATATTGTACACTAATATATGTACTCGCAAAAATATTATGCGCCTTGAGATATCGACGAAGCTCTGTTCGTTGTATCTGCTCTAAACAATATTCGGACAGCGCCGCCAATCGCAAATCGGCAAACTAGCCATTGTGGCGCTGGATGTGGTGGCTCTTGGTAAAGCAAAGCTCAATGGAACTGTTCCTTTGCTACACAGAAAGCAGCTCCTATGCCCCTCAAAGAATGACTACGGAGCCCACGGCAGCTCAGCAAGGAACGCACTTCACAATTCCTCCGAAAGGGAGGAGCGCCTTGCTGGGCCACCCTTTGACAAAATTCCTCTAGCTGACTGTTGATGTTGCAAGAGAGGGGCCTTGCTGGATCACCCCGTGCCTCACTTCTTGCCTGAGGCGTCCTCTTTCCTCTCGCAAGTCACTTGGGTCGTGTTCGTCAGGGGCGTCATGGGCTGACAGCGCTCTACGTCCGTGGGAAAATAGTCCACCTGAGGTATATTTGCGGGACAATGCAGAGGCATGAGATTATGCAGGCCTTTGCAAAAGAGTACCAAAACTACCTTTGATAGGTCAGGTCCACTGACGCACATGGAAATATCCCGGCAGGACACCTCCCATTTTTTCCAATTGTTAAAAACACTTTTGAGGTCTGCCTGAACCTCACACCTGCCATGAAACAAACCCGGAAAAGGACAAGGGAGGGTCGTCCAGCAGCAAAAAGCGCTTGTTTTGATTTAGATTCGGTCCAGGGCCTCATAAATCCCACATGAATTCCAAAGCTGTCCCGCCTCCACGAAGCCGCTGTACTGGCCCAGGATCTGCGCCCAGTAACCAAGGCGGCAGTCCGCCTCGAAGGCTTCGAAAGCCTTCAAGGGCTTCTGCAGCAAAGTAACCATGCCCGGCATGTCAGAAATCGAGGCTTCGAACCGCACGCTGCGTCTCGCAAAGCGCGTACCCGTCGGAAAGCAGTATGCATTCCTGCGTTGTCCATTGTGAACATTGACCTATACATGTGAATGTGAGCGATCAAGCCTCGCACAGTTCGTGGCAAATTACTCCTTCGAACAAGACATTGTTGTTCCGTGCACCTCACCCACCCAAATCAACGAATCCAAGGGCTTGATTGTCACTCACAAGCACTCACCAATTGGGTCGAGAAGGCGACTCACACATTCCAATGAATCACAATGCGCGAGCGGTACAGTGCCCAACCCCACTTCCTCCACATGGCATGCTGGCTGCTCCTTTTGAACTCACACAAGTCGACAATCCAGCAGGAACAACTAAAACGGATGCTTTCCGCCTCTCTGCCGCTTGCGCGAGCCTCATGCAAACTTGGCCAGGATTGATCGCGAGCTTTCTCGCAGTGTGCCGATCTTCGCTTTTCCAGGTTTTAGTGTAGCACAATTTGCGCTGCACCTGTACATGGCAGCGCTTGTCTGTACATTGCAAGGCGTCGCTTGCGTAGGGTTTGCTAAAAAACCTGCCGAGTGGCCTAAAGCGGCACAGCCCGCGGAATCATGGCAAAATCTCACTGCCAGTGGCGTCCGCACTGGTAGGGTTGGCACTGGCTTTGGGATCTGCGTCGGCACCGGCAGCTTTGGCTACAGCGGCATCTGCAGCCGCCTCTTGCGGGGCTGGGGAGCCTTGTGCGAAATCTCCAGCCCCAGCCACACCCACTGGAGTAGTGCCGCCGCACTCGGCCACGTACTTCAAAGCGCCGAGGGGCACATTCTGGCACCAGTCGGGCAGAGCGGGTAGGGTGGAGGCAAATTTCACCTTCAGACCTCGGGCACGCAAAAGCAAGCCAGGGAAGACTCGCAGAACACGTGAGGAACTGGTGTGATTTACAGGCACAAAACAACAACGCAAAGGAAAATGCAACATCATGAGCAAACTTCTGTGTGTCTGTCTCTGTGTCTCTGTGTCTGTGTGTCTGTGTGTCTGTGTGTCTGTGTGTCTGTCTGTCTGTGTGTCTGTGTGTCTGTGTGTCTGTGTGTCTGTGTGTCCGTGTGTCCGTGTGTCCGTGTGTCTGTGTGTCTGTGTGTCTGTGTGTCTGTGTCTCTGTGTCTCTGTGTCTCTGTGTCTCTGTGTCTTTGTGTCTCTGTGTCTCTGTGTCTCTGTGTCTCTGTGTCTCTGTGTCCGTGCGTCCGTGTGTCCGTGTGTCCGTGTGTCTCTGTGTCTCTGTGTCTCTGTGTCTCTGTGTCTGTGTGTCCGTGTGTCCGTGTGTCCGTGTGTCTGTGTGTCCGTGTGTCCGTGTCACCGTGTGACCGTGTGTCCGTGTGTCCGTGTGTCTCTGTGTCTCTCTGTGTCTCTCTGTGTCTCTGTGTCTCTCTGTGTCTCTCTGTGTCTCTCTGTGTCTCTCTGTGTCTCTCTGTGTCTCTCTGTGTCTCTCTGTGTCTCTCTGTGTCTCTCTGTGTCTCTGTGTCTCTGTGTCCGTGTGTCCGTGTCACCGTGTGACCGTGTGTCCGTGTGTCCGTGTGTCTGTCTGTGTGTGTGTGTCTGTGTCTGTGTGTCTGTGTCTGTGTGTGTGTGTGTGTGTCTGTGTGTGTGTCTGTGTGTGTCTGAGTGTGTGTCTGTGTGTGTGTGTGTGTGTCTGTGTGTGTCTGTGTGTGTCTGTGTGTGTGTGTCTGTGTGTGTGTGTGTCTGTGTGTGTGTGTGTGTGTCTGTGTGTGTGTGTGTCTGTGTGTGTGTCTCTGTGTGTGTGTGTGTGTGTCTGTGTGTGTCTGTGTGTGTGTGTGTCTGCGTGTGTCTGTGCGTGTGTCTGTGTATGTCTGTGAATGTCTGTGTGTGTGTGTGCCTGTGTGTGCCTGTGTGTGTCTCTGTGTGTCTCTGTGTGTGTGCGTGCGTGCGTGTGCGCGCGCGCGTGTGCGCGTGTGCGCTTGTGCACGTGCGCGCGTGCGTGCGTGTGTGCGTGTGTGCGTGTGTGCGTGTGTGTGCGTGCGTGGGTGCGTGGGTGCGTGGGTGCGTGGGTGCGTGGGTGCGTGGGTGCGTGGGTGCATGTGTGCGTGTGTGGTGTGTGCGTGCGTGCGCGGCGCGCGCGCGGCGCGCGCGCGCGGCGCGGCGCGGCGCGGGGCGCTGGTGCGGCCTGCGGCGTGGCGCGCGACGCGCGGTGCCCGGCGCGGCGCGATGCGGCGCGGCGCGCGGTGCGGCGCGCGGCGCGCGGCGCGCGGGCTGGCGGGCGGGCGGGCGCGCGGGCGGGCGGGCGGGCGGGCGGGCGGGCGGGCGTGCGTGCGTGCGTGTGTGTGTGTGTGTGTGTGTGTGTGTCTCTGTGTGTCTCTGTGTGTCTCTGTGTGTGTGTCTCTGTGTGTGTCTCTGTGTGTATGTGTGCGTGTCTGTGTGTCTCTGTGTGTGTGTGTGTCTGTGTGTCTCTGTGTGTCTGTGTGTGTGTGTGTGTCTCTGTGTGTCTGTGTGTGTGTGTGTGTGTCTCTGTGTGTGTGTCTCTGTGTGTCTGTGTGCGTGTCTGTGTGTCTCTGTGTGTGCGTGTGTTTGTTTGTTTTTTTGTTTGTTTGTTTTATTTGTGTGTGTTTTGTTAAAATCCCCGGCCTGTTCTTTGTCCTGGCTTGGACACAAAGCTGCGATAGCATGCCTGGCACTCACCAACGTAAACCCAAGATGGGCTCGGCACCCACTGGCACCAGCCGGCACAGCCCCCGCTGTAAGCAGCCTGAGAACTGCACGCAGCCACGTACTGCTGGGAGTAATACGGCACATACTGGCACCAATCAGCCCAGGCCACTGCCCTCAAAGGCGCCGACAAAAGCAAGGCGATCGAAAAGGCGTTCATTCTGCCCGCGAAACTAAACCCGAACGTTACGCCCTCAGCCAGAATGCTGCAGCGGCACTCTGGAAAAACGGCACAGATCTAAGGGGGCAAAGGGAAGAAGCTACCAAGAGGTACCGAGTAACTCACGCGAGGATGAAGCCAGCAGAGCAAGTGCAGGCTAGGAATGCTGAGGAACCAGTCATGAGCTCGGCATTGTGTCACATACCTCTCGGAAGACAGTATGTTTTTTCTGCGCTGTCTATTTTGAATGCAGGGTCTTGGGATGCAGTGAACATTGACCTGTACATGTGAATGTGATCGATCAAGCCTCGCACAGTTCGTTGAAAATCACTCCTTCGAACAAGACATTGTTGTTCCATGCACCTCACCCACCCAAATGCAACGAATCCAAGGTCTTGATTTACCACTCACAAGCACTCACCAATTGGGTCGCTTTTGTAAAGGAGGCATCTCACATACTCCCATTAAAACACAATGCGCAAGCTGCCCCACTTCCTCCGCATGGCATGCTGGCTGCCCCTTTTGAACTCACACAAGCGGACAATCCAGCAAGAACAACTGAAACTTGCCCGAGCTACATGCAAACTTGGCTAGCTTTGACCCCAATCACCTGTACATGGCAGCGCTGTCTGTACATTGCAAGGCATCGCTTGCGTAGGGTTGTGCTCCACAAGACCCTCAAGGCTGCAAAGTGGCCCAAAAGCGGCACAGCCCGCGGCATCATGGCAAAATCTCACTGCCAGTGGCGTCCGCACTGGTAGGGTTGGCACTGGCTTTGGGATCTGCGGCGGCACCGGCAGCTTTGGCTGCGGCGGTATCTGCGGCCGCCGCTTGCGGGGCCGGGGAGCCCGAATTGAAATCCCGAGCCTCGGCTGCACCCACTGGAGTAGTGCCGCCGCACTCGGCCACGTACTTCGCAGCGCCGAGGGGCACGTTCTGGCACCACTCGGGCAGAGCGGGCAGGGTGGAGTCAATTTTCACCTTCAGACCTCGGCACAGAAGAGCAAGCCAGGAAAGCATGAGGAACTGGTGTGATTTGCAGCCACAACACCACAACGCCCTGGCCACATGAAAAATTGAGTATACCTGTGCGTGTGCGCCCCTTGTGCTTTGTTCAATGCCCCGGCCTGTTCTTTGTCCTGGCTTGGACACAAAGCTGCGATAGCATGCCTGGCACTCACCAACGTAAACCCAAGATGGGCTCGGCACCCACTGGCACCAGCCAGCACAGCCCCCGCTGTAAGCAGCCTGAGAACTGCACGCAGCCACGTACTGCTGAGAGTAATACGGCACATACTGGCACCAATCAGCCCAGGCCACTGCCCTCAAAGGCGCCGACAAAAGCAAGGCGATCGAAAAGGCGTTCATTCTGCCCGCGAAACTAAACCCGAACGTTACGCCCTCAGCCAGAATGCTGCAGCGGCACTCTGGAAAAACGGCACAGATCTAAGGGGGCAAAGAGAAGAAGCTACCAAGAGGTACCGCCGAGTAACTCACGCGAGGATGAAGCCAGCAGAGCAAGTGCAGGCTAGGAATGCTGAGGAACCAGTCATGAGCTCGGCATTGTGTCACATACCTCTCGGAAGACAGTATGTTTTTTTTTTTTTTTTTTTTCTGTGCTGTCTATTTTGAATGCAGGGTCTTGGGATGCAGTGAACATTGACCTGTACATGTGAATGTGATCGATCAAGCCTCGCACAGTTCGTTGAAAATTACTCCTTCGAACAAGACATTGTTGTTCCATGCACCTCACCCACCCAAATGCAACGAATCCAAGGTCTTGATTTACCACTCACAAGCACTCACCAATTGGGTCGCTATTGTAAAGGAGGCATCTCACATACTCCCATTAAAACACAATGCGCAAGCTGCCCCACTTCCTCCGCATGGCATGCTGGCTGCCCCTTTTGAACTCACACAAGCGGACAATCCAGCAAGAACAACTGAAACTTGCCCGAGCTACATGCAAACTTGGCTAGCTTTGACCCCAATCACCTGTACATGGCAGCGCTGTCTGTACATTGCAAGGCATCGCTTGCGTAGGGTTGTGCTCCACAAGACCCTCAAGGCTGCAAAGTGGCCCAAAAGCGGCACAGCCCGCGGCATCATGGCAAAATCTCACTGCCAGTGGCGTCCGCACTGGTAGGGTTGGCACTGGCTTTGGGATCTGCGGCGGCACCGGCAGCTTTGGCTGCGGCGGTATCTGCGGCCGCCGCTTGCGGGGCCGGGGAGCCCGAATTGAAATCCCGAGCCTCGGCTGCACCCACTGGAGTAGTGCCGCCGCACTCGGCCACGTACTTCGCAGCGCCGAGGGGCACGTTCTGGCACCACTCGGGCAGAGCTGGCAGGGTGGAGTCAATTTTCACCTTCAGACCTCGGCACAGAAGAGCAAGCCAGGAAAGCATGAGGAACTGGTGTGATTTGCAGCCACAACACCACAACGCCCTGGCAACATGCAAAATCGAGAGTATACCTGTGCGTGTGCGCCCCTTGTGCTTTGTTCAATGCCCCGGCCTGTTCTTTGTCCTGGCTTGGACACAAAGCTGCGATAGCATGCCTGGCACTCACCAACGTAAACCCAAGATGGGCTCGGCACCCACTGGCACCAGCCAGCACAGCCCCCGCTGTAAGCAGCCTGAGAACTGCACGCAGCCACGTACTGCTGGGAGTAATACGGCACATAGCGGCACCAATCAGCCCAGGCCACTGCCCTCAAAGGCGCCGACAAAAGCAAGGCGATCGAAAAGGCGTTCATTCTGCCCGCGAAACTAAACCCGCACGCTACGCCCTCAGCCAGAATGCTGCAGCGGTTACTCTGGAAAAATGGCACAGGTCCAAAGGGGCAAAGGGAAGAATCTACCGAAAGGGAAGGAACTCAGGCCAGCCTGCCAAAAAAGAGAGAGAGAAAAAAAACGGCAAAGCCAGCAAAGCAAATGCAAGCAAGGGATTGCCAAGAAAGGACTGTCCTTGAACCCCCAACACAAGGAAGCATCAATGGCCTCAGCTTTGTGTCACATACCTCTCAAAAAGAAGTACGCTTTCACAACCTGTCCATTTCAATTGCAAGAGTTTGGGATGCAGTGAACATTGACCTGGACATATGGATGCAATCGATCAAGCCTTACACAGTTCGGGGACAAATATTCCTTCAGAACTGACCTTGTTGTTCCATTGTGCTCCTTCTGTGGCCAATCCAGCAGTTCCCAACTGAAATGGATGATTTTCGGCTCTCTGCCGCTCATGCAAACTTGGCCGGTTTTAAGCTCAAGCTTTCTCACAATGTGCTGATCCTCGCTTTTCCAAGCGCCAGTTTGGCACCCGTCTGCGCTGCACCTGTACGTTACAGCGCTTTTCTGTACATTGCAAGCCATCGCTGGCGCAGAGCTTGAACTTTACAAGACCCTGGAAAAGCTGCCGAGTGGCCTAAAGCGGCACAGCCTGCGGCATCATGGCAAAATCTCACTGCCCGTGGCGTCGGCACTGGTAGGGTTGGCACTAGCCTTGGGATTTGCGTCGGCACCGGTAGCTCCTGGCTCTTCGTGGACACCGGTAACTTTGGCATCTGCGTCGGCACCCTCAGCTTTGGCTGCGGCCGCATCTGCAGCCGCCTCTTGCGGGGCTGGGGAGCCTTGTGCGAAATCTCCAGCCCCAGCCACACCCACTGGAGTATTGCCGCCACACTCGGCCACGTGCTTCAAAGCGCCGAGGGGCACGTTCTGGCACCACTCGGGCAGACCGAACAGAGCGGATTCGGTTTTCACCTTCAGACCTCGGCGCACAAGAGCAAGCCAGGGAAGACTCGCAGAACAAATGAGGAACTGGTGTGATTTGCAGGCACAAAACAACAATGCACTGGCAACAAGCAACATCATGAGCAAACTTCTGTGTGTGTGTGTGTGCCCCTTGTGTTTAATTCAATGCCCCGGCCTGTTCTTTGTCCTGGCTGGGACACAAAGCTGCGATAGCATGCCTGGCACTCAGCAACGTAAACCCAAGATGGGCTCGGCACCCACTGGCACCAGCCAGCACAGCCCCCGCTGTAAGGAGCATATGAACTGCATGCAGCCACATACTGTTGGGAGTAATACGGCACATAGCGGCACCAATCAGCCCAGGCCACTGCCCTCAAAGGCGCCGACAAAAGCAAGGCGATCGAAAAGGCGTTCATTCTGCCCGCGAAACTAAACCCGCACGCTACGCCCTCAGCCAGAATGCTGCAGCGGTACTCTGGAAAAATGGCACAGGTCCAAAGGGGCAAAGGGAAAAAAAAATACCCCAAGTGGTACTAGGAACTCATGCCAGGCGCGGAAGAAAAGGAAAGGCAAATGCTAGCAAGGGAATGCTGAGAAGGGGCTGTCCTTGAATCCGCAAGAACCATCCATGGCCTCTACAAACAAAAACCTGTCCGTGGGCATTTGTCAGCACGGGCAATGGCAGTATGCATTCCTGCGCTGTCCATGTGAATTGTCATTGCCCTCGGCACTCACTCCCTGGTGCTTCACTGGAGCCGCTCGTCGATCTGCTTCTGTAGCATCTTTAGCGCCTGTGCAAGCGCCCTGCCCAAACCAGCCCAAGTCCCCCCATGCCCATGCTTGCATTTCTTTCAGAGGACCTGTACTTCCAACACAATCCAAAAGAGGGTTCAACCACAAGGTGATTCCTCTTAGAAATGATTGGACTGATTTGGGTCCCATGTTCCTCTCAAGGGTAGCATCGTTGTGCTGACTTGTTGGCTCAACATGCTAGAACATGACATTTCCACCAGCCAAATGCTGGCGCGGCAAAGGCGGCAAAGGCAAATCAACAGTTGCAGGTAACGACCTTAACGTCCTCAGACGGCTCCGGTGCCTTGTAGCGGTTCTGTAGCTTCTGATTGCGGCCCTTTTCATGCTCCACCTGGCGGCTGGCATGTGTTCAATGGCGAAAGCTCAGAGAGAAGCGATTTGGATATCTCCTCTGTGGTCAAATTCTCTTGTGAGTCGATTTGGAATCCTTTTGTCGATGCTTCAAATGATATAATCTCCACTTGAAAAATGGCTGTTGTCTGGTTGGTTGTCTACTCTTTCGGCAGCTGGATTCTTGCCGTATGAGCCCTTATCCAGCGAATAATCCAAACTGGCACTGGTTCGAAACGACTATGACTATGACACAAGCCCCGACCATGACCTCGAACAAAGCGGCCATTTGAGGTTTATTAACCCCCCCCCCCCCTGAAAATAGCAACACCACAGAACAAAGCCAGCCGGTTCCCAACGAACTCCATTTGTGCAATGTGGGCCTCGTTTCAAAGCCGACCAAGATCACCAAATATGGAAGATCACCCTCATGCGTTCACAAGAATCAAGGTCCTTGCATCCAGGCCTGGCTTGCGGTCTCGGGTCTCAATGCTTTGCCGTTCTCAGGGCTGATTCCCATCTGCTCTAAGCCTACTTGCAAATCCCAAGTGGGCACAACACAAGTGGCCGTCAATGGGTTGTAAATGCCATCCAATCCATACACCTCAAAAAGATGTCCAATCCATGACCCTGGACACTCGCCATGGAAGCGATGCGAGTGTCGCGAGTGTCGCCTGCTCTTGCAGCTCCTCCACCCGGGTTTGGATCGCCTGGCAGAGGGATCATGCAATTCCCCGTGGGCGCGCATGGGAATTGACCTCCAAGTCTTCAGTGAACTTGGACGAATTGGAACACTTCCTTTGAGGCCCTAAAACCGAGCCAATGAAACAGCTCATAGTCATGACTGGCAGGCAGGTTGGAAGATGGGTAGCTTGCAGGGCTGAAATCCAAACATTTCAGGTCAAAGCTGCATCTAGTGAGCTCATCAGTCTTAAGCTGCGCGTTGTATGATGGTTGTATGCCAGCCGCAACACGGATACGGCGCTCTATGCTGGCGCTGTCCAACTCACACACTGCACGCAGGCGTCGGGGCCCTCCCAAGACAAGTTGCCAGGCCTTTGGGCACAATCTTGCTTTCGCAATCAAGGCGGAAGGGTTTTTAGTTTTCCTAGGTTCGGGGCGGGCAGGCGCTAAAATGGCGTAGTTTACAGCATGCGCTGTTTTACAGCGGCACCATCAACATCCCCAGCATCGGTTTCACCACCCCCGGCATGAAGCTTTGGCGACTGAGATCAAGGTGGGTTGAAGGATTGTTTAAGGTTTAGTGCTGGTTTAGGGTGGGCCTCAGGGTCGGGTTTAGGTGGGTTTATTGTGGGTTTATGGTGGGTTTATGGTGGGTTTCTGGTGGGTTTCTGGTGGGTTTCTGTTGGGTTTAGGATAGGTTTAGGCTGGTTTGGGAATGCCTTAGTGCTTGGTTAGTGGGGGAGGGTTTAGGGTTTGCTTCGGGTTTGGTTAATGATGATGTTTGGTAGTTTATGGATTGTTAAGTGCTGGTTTAGGGTGAGTTACAAACACTATCCTTGTAGTGATGCTACTGAGGGCTGCGGGGGATGAGGATGTGGAAAGCCAAAGCCAAAACCCGCCAAAAGCCACAAAAGCAGCGCAAAAGCCAAAAAAGCACCCACCGCTGCCACACGGACCGAGGAGACAAAAAATCGGGGCATGAAAACAAACCCATGTGGGGCTGTCTCAAAATGTGGTGAACTCATTTAAAGGGATTCTCAAAAAGGGAAACCAACATGAACCCCGCTATTTAAAGACAAAGTCAAGATTTCAGCAGCCCATGTTAAGGGCCCGCAAGCCACCCAAAAGGGGAAGGGGACACATAGGCACTCCAAGCCACTCGCCGGCGCCTTCTCCTCTCTGGCGCGCAGAGTCTCGAAGACCTCTGTCTCGATGGCTACCGTCTCGCGCTCCTGAACCATGGGCTCTCGGAAGTCAATGCAAAGCATGTTTGCATTTTCCCGTAGCGTTCCTTCCCTTCAATCATGGAAGACGATCAAAGCGTTTTGGAAGACGACCTTCATTTTTAAAGCAGCCCACGTGTCCACTTCCTACCTTTCCAGTCTTTGGGGAGCAACCGAGCTTGCCCGTGACAAGTTGTCATCTGATCCTCGTTGTGCAACTGCAAAGGTTGTATTCCGAACGATCGGTGCACACAGCCACCTAGCCTCCAGCACAAGACATTCCACTTCAGAACACATATTGACGTTGCAGATCCGACCCTAAGGCGAGGATGAACGAAAACATGAGGTCGAGCAGAGTTTCTTTGGAACGGTTATCCTCTCACCTTCGCGGCTTTCTTCTGTCCGAAACCAATGGGCCGAATTGGTGATCGGAGCGGGTCTTTGCTTTCACCCAAAAGTTTATCCACACATATATATATATATATATATACGGGT